ATACTAACTTATGGGTTTTGATAAGTAAGCACAGGACGGGACATGTTGGTAAGTCAATTTTGAGATGAGAGATAACTGATGGTTTTAACCCTGCCGCTCTTGCCACTTTAACCCATTCGTTGTTTAACTTTCGGTATTGACTTTTAAATTCCTTCTCAGACGATGGACGATAAAGGGAAGCACCTTTAAGGTGCTTTTCCGTTATCTCAACATCTAACTGATGGGGAATTGCAACGAACTCTTCACGCTTATCACTAACCGATGTTTTTTGTTCTTATCAGCTCTCGTACCTCCCGCATACCACGTTTTTGTATTTCAGTGAGGTTGGAGCAGTATCTTTTAGCGCGATAGTGATTAAGGACTTTGAAAGTTTCATTCGTAAACATCCGAAATTTAACATCAACTTCATTAATGGGCTCTTGTTGTCTAAAGAACGGTTGAGGAAATGGTGGTACTAGTATTGCCGCTACTCTTTGTTGTTCGCGCCTATTTTGCGCTTCATCCCTAGCTTTTTTGCGGAGTCTATCTTGAAGTTCATGTAAACCGCATGTGACCCTACGTAAGGTTATCTTAGAAATGGGTTCAGATGGTGAGAAACTCGGTCCCAATTTTAATAACGAGCGCGCACCGTCAGGGAGGGTTATGCCTCCTAGCACGCTCAACCTTGAATTTCTTTGCACATTATTTATCCTACTGTGAATCGTTTGATCTTCGTTGGCGGTGTTTCTGTATGCTCTTGATGTTACTTAATTCGAGACACTGTAGCCAATTCCACGAATCCAAATGCGTTTGGAGCAAATATATGGTCCATTTTGATATATGTTTTAACCCACTTTCAGCCAGATGTGATAGTCCACACAGAATAGCGATTAGGAGGTATACGATCCCATACATGGAAGAGTTCCGTGGCAACGAAGGATAGGATAGGGAAACAGGCCACCGTTTTATACTTCGTAGAGGAGATAGAAAGATAAAAGGTGAAGCTCTCTGCATTGATCAATCTCTGAGGGATGCACCATGGATCACACTTCATCAGGTCTACACAGTGAGTCGCCTTCCATACAGGTCTGGTACCAATTTGCCGACCCCTAAGGGAAAGAACGCTAGGTGACCCTGGAGTACGGGATCAAACCCATATTTATTGCAGGGCACCTCTAACCACTGTATCTCTACTTTTGGAATTGATCTGAAATTCCTATGAAAAAGAACGAAACAGAAAAAAACAAAAAATGGTAAAAAATAGAAAAACGATGATAGACCAAATTTCATTGGTAATTTTCGGATAGTAGTATAAACCACTAGTGTTTCTATCAAGCAAATTACTAGTAAATAAATCTCTTAGTAGCACTAAAGTCTTGTTCTATAGGAAGTTGATCGCATACGCCTGGAGCTGGCTGAATATCGAGCAAGAGAAGAACGATTACTTGCTGAGAAAGATTTCTTAATGAGGTGAGCTAATCACTCTGATACTCTTACCATATTTCGCACCTGTTGCGTCAGTGTTTTTTAAAACTCTCTTGCTTGCAAATCTTTTGCAGAACGATGGTGTTCTATTTTTCTTTTAATCGTATTTAAAACCATTCGTATAACTAATAATGTTTTTTAGAGTACAGCAGAAGGAGATTCTAGAGATCGAAAGTCTTCTAGCTGAATCGTCATTCGATGCTAAAAAATTCTTTGAGAGCGACATTGCACGTGCCATAAGGTTCGTTCAGGCTGTTATGGCACAGGCTTTCTTAATTTTATGTGTTCTTGATGAGCAGAGCGACATGACGTTGTGAAGAGTATTAAGACGATGTTTTTATCTACAGGTGTGACGACTAATTGACTTTCGGTCGATTTTTCCTTCCTCATAACGTGGAGTGTAATCTTGATACTTACTTGATACTTGAACGGAACGTCCTCACTGGTTGTGCGGGCCCCAGCATAATCACCATTTTTCGGAGACCTACTGGTGAAGCCATTGCAGTACCCTAGAATTTCCGAGGAGAGCCTGGCCAAAGTCTGCCCCACGAAAGTCACCACAATAGGCAGTCGCAGCCCTTGTGGATCAGAGGGAGATTTACTACCATGTGACTTTGATACCAAGACGATGGTGGATCCTGGTATTGGTTTACTCTTAGCTGGGCTTCCTAATGGAAACCCAGGTGTCTTTTTCAGCTTGGGAAACCTCGCTGACGGACGAGTCTCCCCGCTGTACATCGCGGTGCAACACGCAAGAACACCTCCCAGTCACAATGAGGCGGTGAACCGCTGGGAGGGAAGTGCAACCTACTCATTCAAATACTTACATAACTCCAAAAGAAAAACGAAAAATCTAAACTCATGTGATAAACAGCTTTTTTTAAACACTCAGTGTCTCACTTTAAACACTCACTTTAACAATCTATTAATCCGTGCACGATTTAAAAGAGACCAGGTACACCGTACCTGAGCTCATACAATCATCATCCCTACCGTCAGGGAAAATTATGCAGCTTTGCGTTGTATAGGGCGCAAATACTGTTCTGACGCTCCCGTGTCTGCTCATCAAGAAAGCATAAAATTATTGATCAACATGGAAGTTAATGGAGAGTCGGTCCTAAGAATTACAGGTTTGCTTGAATTTTCTTATAGAAGTGCAACAATCAATGCCAGTTGAATGTCTGTTAGTGCTCAGTTGAAAATTTTGAGATAAGTATGAAGTCTCTTAATTTAACGCTTCACTCACAGTAACATAACTCATGCAACATAACATTTTCGGGTAAAGGTGTCCAACTGGTACATTTAAAAATCCCTTCTAACCCTTATTTCGTGCTGCCTAGTTATCAATTCCAACTTCCATCGGCACTGTTTCTGGTGCTTCGCCGTTGTCTACACATTTTCACTTCCGTCGTTGAAATCATTTTAACAACGAACGTTAGTTTTTACTAGGAACCAAAATCACGGATATTCAGGGACATTAAGGACGAATACGAACAATCTCATAATCTAGTCCGCAAAACAGTAACTGGTTATTATCACCAGAAGGTACATTGAATACTGAAATGTTTTCTATTGAAATATTCATTTTAAATGTGACGGTTAAGGCTGGTGAAATCCGTAAAATTGTGGAAACGATGAGTGCTGATGAAAATAAGCTTCGACTGGAGCAAATAGCTAAAATGGAGCACTTATTGGGTGATTTGCGATCGAGGTTCATTCCTCTAGAAGAACAGAATCAAATGCTAGAGAATGAATACAGGCAGCTACAATATCAGGTACAACTTTAGGTTAAAGGGTTGATTAGTCGTATAGATGATAGGAAGTTTTTTTCGTCAATATTATTTCAGTACCCTCTTGGCCTAGTAAGCTAACACGAGGTTGACAAAAAATCACTATTTATTTTCCTACTGTTATATATGATTTGATTGTAGATAAGAGACGACGAGGAGCGTTATGAAATCGAGAAACGACGCTGTGATGATGAATACAGAGAGGTTTTCAATATGTATCAGCGTTTGGTGAGTTATCAAATAGCTCACAGTAGCGAATAAACCGTCGGTAGTAAAATGGCACTTTTGACAATTATAGCGATTTGTAGCTGTTTTGTAAGTGTACCGTCCAAAGCACACACAACACACACACACACACACACACACAC